ATTCCCCTTTTGTTTTCGTACATCTGATGGACTGATGTCGTAAAAAATGGGTACAACCAACTGGCCTTTTTTTTCTTTGCAGTCTAGAATATGCACAAGTTCATCCAGACACCAAGTGGAAGAAGAATATTCTTTGGAGAAAATGATTACCGAAATCGTAGATCTCTCGATTGCTTCAAGGAGGGCAGGCGCAATTTCATCTCCTCTCACAAGCCTGTAATCTATGTAGGTTTCGATTTTCTGCCTACATAAAGCTTCATAAAGATGGCTGGTAAAAGTAAGGCGGGTGTCCTCACCTCTGAAGCTAATAAACACATCATACTTTTCTTGAAGAGGGGGAATATCAGTATCAACAGCAGCAACAGAAGTGGAAGAAGAAGAAGAAGAAGATGTTAATGATCTGAAGTAGATGTAGAACAGAGTCATGATGAATATGATGATTATGATGAAAACTTGAAAGAACTCAATGGAGTCCATATCTGTTTCTCTGAATGCACCAGGAGCTAAAATTAAAGCAATCTGATACTTGAGATGAAATCTTGATGATGGACCTGAGGGTTTAATTAAGTTGCACCCGAGGGTCCAATTAAGCGGTTTAGAAAGAAAGAGAATAGAAAGCAATTGCTCTAGTTGAGACTCGACTATGCGCACAAAGCTACCAAATTATTGCCACAAAAGGATCCAGAAAAAAGACAAGTGAAATAATTAGGCAAGCACTGTCGGTGGACAAAAATTCAAGCATTCACACACTGACGAAAGGAAAGGGCACATGGGAGTGGCAGCACAATGGACCCCCTTATAATCGCTTTACGTACAAACTTTTGCTTTTGAAGATAAAAAAAAGCACAAACGATCAATAGAGATTAAGAGATAAAAAAGTAAAGCGAAGGAGATTTGACCAAGAACTTTCGTGCATTCAAACCAGGAAAATAAAGCATCCTGGAAATTAATAACTCCCTTGAGCCGTCTGTCAACAGAAGAGAAACCCCTCATATCGACTTTGTAGTTCAAAGGGGCACCAAACCACACAGCATTGGCCCAGGGACATAAGAACAACAGGTGCTCAATTGTTTCTTCCTCCACTCCACATATAGGACACACCAGGGACAGGGAGTCAAGAATTTTCCTTCTATAGAGATTCCAACAAGTAGAGATGGCATTATATAATACTCTCCAGAGGAACATTATAATTTTTGGCATAGTCTCAATCTTCCATATACACGCCCAGACCTCTTTTGGAATTGAGTGGGAGGCCGAAACAGTCGCATGGCTTCGATATGAGTGCCGGGAATGAATTCTTGTATATCATGATTTGACTGAGTAGGCACCATTAGTTGTCCAGGGCCACACCACTCTGTCATGTCTCTCAATGTTCGCAATTGTACATACGGTTCAATCAATTCTAGATTCCAAGAATAAGACTCCTTATCCATAATGTCAGAAACTAACTGAGAGGCTGATGGAGGAACAGTTTGCCTAATTTTGATAACCCCTTCATGGGGAGGAGGAAGCCAAATATCCTTCCAAATATTCGTATTTTTTCCATAAAAAATCTGGCAGCGGGAGTCTTTGATCAAAGCTATGGATTTCAAGTTGGGAAATTGGGCCACAATAAGCACTCTGTACCAGTCAATGGACCACACCCATTATTTGTCAATTTGCTTAGTGGGCTTTTTATTTACACCCATACAATTTGATCCCTACACCGAAATAACAAAACCTATTATGAAAATTATACTCTATCTCTAAGATGTTGTAAAATACTTTAATCTAGCAAATGTTGTGCTTTTCAAAATATGATATTCGTGTGGAGATAAAATCGTGGGAACAGAAACTCTTTAAGTTTTCTTTGCTTTAAAGAGTCCTAGAGTCATCAGATTCATAGTCGTACGATGAGTAGCCAAGCCATACGGTGTAGAGCTGCCATGCAAATGCTAGTGCCAAGCATATAGTTAGTTCCCCACGCCAGCCAGCTACCATTGAGAAATGTTATTGCTGCTATTAATGGTTGAGAAATGTTATTGCCATTAATGGTTAAGTATACGGGTTTAGCTCCAAGGCGGATTTGTTATACCACGTAATCTATTCTAGTCAATAACCTTTTCATCTATTGAGCTTGTTTGTTTTGCCTGCTAGGCCTTGGGCTCTCTCTTTAAGAAAATCCAATGTTCATTCTTTGTTCAGATTTTATAACCTTATGTAGGCCCAGGAGGAGAATGAAGTGGATAATGTGGAGATTGCCCAATCAGATTATTTCACATACCAAATTATTGGGTGGATTAAGAAGCTGCAATTAGATTTTTGAGACATAGATGTTGTGCATTCTCCTTGACTAAGTGGAAACATTTCACTACAAATATCAATCACTTTCTTTAAACATCACAAAAACAAAACAAAACTACATAGGCTAGCAAGCTAGAGTTTATAATTCTGGACGCAACAAATATATCATATATTTGACATTGATTTTCAATCACTGAGGCTTGAAGAAGCTCACCTTAATACCAGTATCAATCACAACATAAAGACCAGCTGCAGTCAACATAACACTTAAAATCATCCCCACAACCCCAAGCACCCAGTTAACCCCCCAACTTATGCCGTACTTCTTAGGCTTCTTCATCTTGATCCACATGAAACATGGATAGGCCAATGTCACAGGCAATGAAATCCCTCCTAGCAAACCAGCCACGCTTCTCAGCTAGCAAACCAGCCACGATTCTCAGGAAGGGGATGGCCACAGCCATGAAGTAGCATCCATAAGTAAACATGCATATCACAATGGCCCTCAGCCACCATGGAGCTGGCTTCTTGAACCTCCTAGTGTAATGTGACTCCATCTCGTCGAACATCAGCATGCCATAGATTTGGAAGGAGCTCAATGCATTGACTATGACAAACAAACTTGCTAGCCCTAAGATGAATTGGGATGTGTCGCGCGCATGGAAGTTGAACAAGGCCACAAACATGCCTCCTTGTGCCGGTATCTGCGAATAAGAAAATATATTAGCATTGTCACAATTAAATGTTCTTTTATGATATATCTAACATGTTATATATTATCAAACTGTTAATTCATACTACATTCAAACATTCGAATAATAATCCGAATTAATAATCTGACAATGTAACATTGGTTTAGGGTATGATATACCTTTTGACCATATGCCCAATAGCCTACAATTGCAAGGGGGAAAAGGCACATTGCTATGAGTGTGTAGGAAATTTGGACACCCCTCCACATGGGCACGCGTGATGGATGTTTTTCACTGGACGGCATTGTGGCCTGTAATTAAGGGAAAACCTCAATTAGTGGAAAATATACAAAAATATTAGTCAGAAGCTTTGTATTAAAGTTGCTTTCTATTGTAGTTGCAGCTTCAATACCATTTGGTCAAAGCCAACATATCATATATGATCATCAGCAAAGACAACTATTTTATTTTTATTTTTTAATAATTTTGGCGCACTCGATTTGATTTGCTTAAAAACTATATTCAACACAATTGTTGAAGTTTCATCTGTCATGCAGACGAAGACCTAATTTGTAGGCACCACAATTAAAATAATTCGTTCACATGGGTAACACTAATTAACAAGATTTGGACGAAAATAAGAATTTAAAAATATCCACTTGTTTGACATTAAGGCCAATATATGCTAAGTTTATAATAAATTCAATCAAAGGAATAAGATGCTATGAATTTCAATATTTTGTTTTCACTCTCTCAATTTATATATATATATTCAATTTGAACTCAGAACTATGTGCCACTAGATCAAATTATCATAGACAAATCCTGTTTCTCATTTAAAAAAACAGAGAGTCGGATTCTAAAATAATTTTCTGTTATTAAGGAAGAGAAAGGTTTTGATAATTAATTAAACAACTATACAATTGAAATTGTGAGATTAATGAACATACCTGGATCTCAAGTATAAGGTTGTGGCCTCTGAAGGCAAAGGCAATCATTCCAAGGGCATTAAGAACATCAAAAAAATGGATGTATTGTTTGTCGGCTTTCAAGGGGTTATAAGACACATCGGGAAGCTTGCCCTTGTCCAGAGACACAACCCAGATCAATGTGGAGTAGCCAATGGCAGAAATGGCACCAACAAGAGACACTCCAGCAATCGAGTTCAAGTTGGGCAGCTGAGAAAGAATCGAAGCTACGACTGTAAACACCAAGTACCACTCCGCTGGTGTTAAGGACTTTACAGTGCATGTTGGTCCACACACAATTTGGAAGAACATCTTTGCTGTTGACCCTCCAAGGACGATCAGAGCCACACACGTGCCGCCCGATAGGTACAGGATTGGGAACAAGGCTAAGAACTGTGCTAGCTTCTCACCTGAGCAAATTGAAGACAAAGATTGCATGGTTTAGTAGAAATTGCTTCCAAATTGTCTCCTATTTCATCCATTTTGTTTAGTTAAATGGGGTGTTTGGGAGTGTTACCGAAAATATTTAAAACCCTTGGAGATGCGTTTGACATAAATAGACAAAAGTGTTTTTGGAAGTTACAAAAGCACTTTTTGGAGAAGAATTTCTAGTTTGGAAACTTTTTGAAAAACCACAGCGAGGTAAGTAAAAGTGTTTTTGCATAATCACTTCCAAACAGGGCTTTTGGGTATTTTAGCTTAAACATATGAAAAATGGTAAGTCTTAATTACCAAAACTTGCATTGCAAAGTTGAATGTATCTGCAATATCGTAGGCCTGTTTCAGCAGATTCATGAAGCTGGACCAGCAAGTATAAAGTGTAAAGTTGCCATATGAATGCCAAAGTCATGCATATAATCCCCCATGTCCTGCAGTAACCAAAACAAATTAACAAAAAGGAAAAAAAAAAGCACCATATAATTAAAGATACTGAAAAATAACTTAACAAGATTTGTTAAATTAATAACATATTAATGGTGACTTACCACCCAAGAGTGGTGAAGGCAACAGGAAGAATAAGGGCTTGAATTCCAATACCAGAACAAAGAGTATGGAAGGCAGCATAGTAAGCGTTGCCATTTCTAGACTCAGTGATTGGAAGCCAAGCATCTTGAGGGTCAAGCCTGGTGAGTTTGAGAGCCCTCCTAACAGGGCTCCCTATTGGAGTCATGAACCGTGGGGTACGAGATTTTGGGGTTAAAGCTTTGGGGGTTTTTAGTGTTATCTGGTCACCACCACCACCACCATCACCATTGACAGCTGTGGTTGGAGCTGGGATCTGGAGAGGTG